CTGTCTAAAAAGCTACACGAGCGTTCAGACCTGGCTGACTGAAATGCATTTTAAAAGCATTTAGCCACCTACATGAATTTACAAAGCCCCAATGGTTTTAATATCAGTAGGAGTTAGGTAATTAACCTGCTTAGGCCCTTTTGAATATCCCTCTAGCTATTTACCTGTATCATTATGTCCTTTGAGAATGTGGCCTTAGTTAGCTAGGGTCTTGTACAGCCCTAACTCCCTCTATCTCCATCCCTCCATTTCCTATCTTTCCCATTTACTCATGTTTCCGCACCCCCTGCTCTCTCATCTTGCCTATTCAGAAGTTGGGGGCAGGGGAAATATTTCCTCTCTTTCTTCAGTTGCATAGTATTGCTTAAATAAGTGGATTGTAGAAATGTTATGCCTCGCTCCGATGCATCTGGTAGAGGTCACTGACAGATACAAGGCAAGATAAACAATTGGGGCATTTGGCAACAAATATTTATTTTATTCTAATAAATAGAAGCAGGAAGAGAGAGAATCTATTTTACTAACTCTGACAAATTAAATTCACTTTTAATGATCAGTAAAGTACCTTCGTTCCTTTAGGACCATCATAGCCTGGGGAGCCATAAAATCCTGTAGGACCCTGAAACAGATAAAAACATGGTTGCCTTTTTATGTTTTCTATATCTGAAGGATAGCAAAGTTAGTTTGTCTGTTTAAGAATCTTTTTGGTTGCCAGATTGTTATCATTATTTTAATCTGCCTAGGGGGTATTTATTTATTGTTTATCTCTGATGTTGTTAATGTGTAAGACCATGCAACAAAGCTGAGAGGTTTACTTCTGGGAATAGTAATTTAGTCCTCCCTTTCATTTTTATGGTATGTGTTTTGTACATGGGGTCACATCCAGGCCCTGATCTGACCATATCACAAAGACATAGAGCAATACAGAATGGGTGGGCCATGAAGATGTTGCTCTCTACACAGATCTTGGGATGGAAACGCAACTTCAGGAGGGGTGACACAAGAGATGAAGGTGGCTGCCTAGGGCACATGTTCTCTAGCTCTGGCTGTTATGGAGATAATGCACAACACTTGCATTGTTCCCTTTGATACTACAGGACAGTGGGGTTTCTCTTAGCTACCCGATATTAAGCAGGGACAATGAATAGATCCATACAGGTCTGGGAATTGGGTCTGCATTATTAGACTTACATTTTTCCTTTAGTTAGGGAGACGTGTCCTATTTGACAAAAGGAATCTTTCAGCACAGGGGCCAAATCTGCCATTACTTACTCCTTCTGGAGGCCAAGGAGCACTGTACTCCAGGAAAGAGCCATAGAACTGTCCCATTGCCACCCAGGTAAATACTTGTATGATACTAAGGTTTTTTCCAAGCCTGTCCCTTTTGTCCCATGCAAAAGGGATCCAGCAGCTTTCTTGGCTTTGTCTGCATGATTCTCTTTCCCTCCAGAATGACTCTTGGACCCCAAGTGCTGGTGCATAAGGCTTGCATGCTATTTTATTTTAACATTTCTCTACAACACCTGCATTTTAGAGACAATATCCATATACACTCCAAAAATTCTAAAGACTTTAACTATTACTATTATATGGATCTTGACCTAGTATCAGTCAAAATATTAGCACTGACATTAGAGGAGCTGTGTAATTTACATCAGCTGTGGTTCTCAGCTGATATTTTTATACATAGCTCCTAAGCTTAAGAGAACAGTGAATTGCACAGAGCAGTGATTTTAATAACTGGCTCCAGAAAGCATTTAGGGAATTTTAAAGTATTGCAAAATACCACAACACTCTGCAAGATACCACACACTGAACCACAGAGACCTTCTTTATAATGGTGACATATATCAAATATTGTCAGAAAACTAACAAGTGTTACACATTAGGTGTAAAATCTCTATCACACTAGATGGAGCTATGGATTTAAAAGTGAAGTCAGGAGATTCCTATTTATCTGCTGCTCATTGCATGTGCACTGAAAAGAGTTAGTGGCAGTTCTTCCACCTTTCAAAGGAAGCGATTCCTTAACTTTTAAAAATGTAACTGCTCAACAACAGTTCTAAGAAAATAAAGCTCTTCAGATGCAACTTGCGCATCAGGACATCTTACTGGAATAAATGTAAATGCCAGAAATGTTTTTGTCAGGATTCAAATTAAAAAAAAAAGGTCTAAGGAGCCAATAAAAGATTCTGGCAGTAAGGAGAGCTGACTTTTACTGATTGCATTGGCTTTCAGTGTACACAGTACTGATATTTTTTCTCTGCCAACCCAGCAGTTTTGTGAATCACTGTGAATTTCATGTGAGTCCTGGTACATTTTTCTGCCAGGTCACTTGGTTAGCATAATCATGGAAGCATAAGGCATGTCTACACATGCTTATTAATATGCAGCAATAAGTTGTGGAGCTTATTACTCTGGAGTTTATTGCTGCTAGGTGTGCATCTGCCCTGGCTGACAGGAGGCCCTAGGCATCAGCATTCCAGCCCAGGGTTGCTCTTCCTGGCTCAGTGTGCTGTGGAGGGGCTGACTGGGGTATGAGGATGCTTCAGTGTCAGGCTAGTCAGCAGGCAGCCCCTACACTGAAGCATACTTGTCGTCCAGCCAACTGGGGTAATGCCTACATGTGCACTGCTGAAGTTTTTTACTCTGCAGCAGGATAGTACTTGTATTTACTGTCCTTGTTATTTACAAGTACAGTCCTGCTGGAGAGTAAATTAATTTACTCCAGCCTAATAGGAGCACATGTGTAGATGTTGAGGCGTTTACTGCACACCTAATTAGTCAACTCTGCAGTCAACATCTTGTATAGAAATGCCTGTGGAGAAGCAATTTATGCCCCTAGTCATAGATTTATTAAAATGCCTTGTAGGAACTGTTTCTAACCATGACTGAGGGTACCTTTTTCTATGTACAAGTCAAAAACATGAGAGCTTCCGTATCTGAGAGAAATTTATTTTAGACATCTCTAAAATAGAGAGAAGTTTCCTTTAGGAGAGAGAATTGACACTCAGTTTTTCCCTCTCTCTATTTAGCTTGTTCTCTGAAATGCATAATGGCACAAGACCACAGACCTCTACAACATCTGGTTAAACTGAATGAAACAACAACAGGATGTAAAAGAAGTTAAGGAAATCATGCTGGCTATAATAGGAAATTGAATTCAACACTCCTCATAGCATTTAATAATGTGTTGAACCCACTTGCAATAACAAGCTTTAATTATCAGTTAATTTTTTTGATACCCCCAGAATGAAAAAAGTCACCTGGCCCATAATGTCAGGTTGACCAGTGCACATACATTCAGATTAGTTCTGATCTAATTTATGTAGTGTAACTGAGATCTGAATGTACCTTTATTTCTCTAAAAATAAAAGTCAGAAGAGACCACTCCATAGGATTACTTATATTATTTTGTTTGGTTCTTATATTATTTAGTTTGCAGGTGGAAACAGAGGGCAAGAAGCAGGGGGGCGAGTCCAGTGGGGTGGGGGTGAGGCCAGGGGAAGGACAGTGGGGACAGAGGGGAAGGAGCAGGCAAGGATAAGGACAGTGGGGAGGACAATGGGGACAGAGGGGGAAGGAGCAGGGTGGGTGAGGCTGTGCTGGCCTTGCCCTCCCCCCCACTACCAAAAGGTGGTGGTGATGGAATGGACGGGGGGGGGGCAAGGCCAGCAGTGCTGGCCTCACCCTCCACCCTGTGCTCCCTGGATGCAGTGGTGGCATGAGTGCTGGGTGGCAGTGCTCTGTCCATGTCCCCCCATCATTCATGGGGAGGGGAGGCAGGTGGATGTGGGCCGGGCGGATGGGGGGGAAGCAGGCCTGGCCCCAAAACAGTGGTGGAGCAGGTGGAGGGGTTATGCAGGGCTTGGCCCTGCCCCACAATGGCAGCAGAGAGGGTTGGGGTGCGGGCCTGGCAGTGGGCAGGGTGGAGGGGGGTGCACTGGGCCCAGCCTGGCCCCACAATGTCAGCGGGGAGGGGTGGGGGGCACTCTGGGTCCAGCCTTGCCCAGGTCCAAAATGGCAGCGGGTGAGGGGGTACTGGGCCTGGCCCTGCAATGGTGTGGGGGGTGGACCCAGTCTCAAAATGGCAGCAGGTAGGCGGGGGGTGGGGTGGGTGCTGGGCCTGGCCTGGCCCCACAACAGCGGTGGGGAGAGCGTGGGGGGAGGGGGGCTGGGCCCGGCCCCGAAGGTGAAGGGAGGCTGGACGCAGGCCTCTATTCCTGCCCACGCACCCCCATCGTTCTTGATGGGCAATTGACTAGTTATATCATAAATGTACAAAGTCTATAAAGCAGGAACATTGCTTATCCAGCATATTGTATGTTATAAAGTCCCCTGTGGCTTAAATTACAATATTTTTTAGCATGCAGTATATGTATGAGGTATGCATTATGTTTGGGTGTGTGTTGTATGTGAGAAAATACTTAGGTGTACTTAAAACACTAGGTATGTAATAAATTGGAATAATGAACTGTTTAAAGGACTCTGCATATGATTAGACATTTTCCAGGATAAAATCTGCTTTCCCATAATCTTAAGATGTTAGTTCTATATGAAAAAGGAACATGCTAGAAACAAAATTTGAGTTTTGCACTAAGTACTCACTGCTTCTCCAACAGGTCCTTGAATGCCCTTGATGCCTGGCAATCCCTATAAAAACACGATGTCATGAGAAAATACAGTAACATCCCAATAAAATGTTTTAAGCACCACCATTTACTATTTGACATCTGTACTATGTCTGAAACATAAATAAACTGACCAAACAGTGAGAATGCAGAGTCCTTTTCAACCACGTAGATGCAGGGAGCAAATACAGTAGGCTAGCTGATTTTGTGATCCTCTGTTTTAAATTAAGATGTTAGTAAAGTGACCGTAAATGTTATGATCTCTAGATGTTGTTCGAAGCGTTGTTGCTGCCCCCTCATTTGTTTAATTCAGAAGCAGTGCAATGAGGGTAGGTTACATGGAGAAGCACCAGGAAGGTGCTACACAATCTCTGTACTGAGACACATTCTAAATGCAGGGCTTCTCAGTTACCTTATACCAGGGGTAGGCAACCTTCTAAGGCTGTGGGCCTTCAAGTGACCCAGCCTGGGTCAGGGGTGAGAGGGCAGGCACTAGGACAATGTTGCTACTGTCTCTTTCTTCCTGGCAACGCTGGGAAAGTGCTCACAGCCTGCGTTCATCCCTGTGGGGAGCACCCGCAGCTGGCATTCATCCTTGTGGCAGCATGGGGAGAGTGTCTGCAGAAGGTGCCCCTGGCTGCTGAAAGATACTGAAGTCCCACATCTGCAGGGCAGATCCAAAGGCAGCTTGTGGGCTGTAAGTTGCCAACCCCTGCCTTATGTGCATATGTGTGGGTCTATTGGCCCCCTCTCTTTGCCTATTCCAATGGCCTTCCCATCTTCCAGAGGTAGCAAAGCACCAACTCTGAGGCACAAACAGGTTGCAAAATCACCCAGTGTTTGGCTTCTCCACTGCCATCACATACTGAATGGCAGAACCCTGGCTTTAAATGATCCCTGCACTGTGCAGATTTCACCCTTAATGAACAACTTACCCTTTGTCCTGGAAAACCCATTCTCCCTTCTTCTCCCTTTTCAGCTGAAAATGCAGGGGAGCCCTAGGAAACATGGCAGGATAATTTGTCATTCTTGGCAGGTGATCTTACATACCTTACATTGAATTTACAGAGTACAGTACGTGTATGCACACTGTACAGAATTGGTTGTAATAACTGTGAGTGAAAGAACCTGTATATTTTAAAACTGTACCCAACCCTGCAGTCCACATACAGCCCTACCTTCTCTGAGTTTAATGAATTTGCTTCACCAAAATAGTGGGAACAGGCCTTTAGAAAAAGGTTTCCGTTTACACTTTTTATGGAGCATGTAGCTGCTACTCACAGCAATTATTTAACTGTATAAATAGTTAGTAAGTTTAGCTGTAATCCAGATCTCAGCTTCACATAGCTACTTGGAAAACAGAGATATTCCACCATCTAGGTCCAATGAACATGAGTGAGGCATGAACAAGGCTAGTAAAACTGGTGTGAAATCTTACTTGAACCCATAGACCAGATAAGTTAATAAAACTTCATAGCTAACAGCACCAAAGACTAACAATCATCTGACAATCATCCACTCAATTATAAAGAAGTCTCTATGTTGCACTTGGACTGCAGGGAAGGTTGGCAGGGATTGAGAAAATGTCAATATATATGTATATATATGTATTTAATGGAATTTTAATAAGATTATATAAGAAACAGCAATTCCCTAATATTTAAAATGAAAATTAGAAAAACTATTGTGAGAAAATATCTTATTTTGGCTACCTCATAATAAGGAGTGTCTGACTGCCTGGGGTTGGGGGCAGGAAGGGATTCTTATATAACATGGGACAGTATAATCTTCTATGATTAATTTAAGATGAAAGAAGAACAAAGCTGGCACATATGGTTATGTTGTGTCATTTCCATCCCTTGAAATATGAAGAGAAAGGGTATCAATATTAACTACAGCTACTGATCTTTGATTTTTTTCAGCTGACTTACTGAACTTCCAGGATCTCCTCTTTTTCCTTGCATTCCTTTTTCACCCTAGCATTGAAGAACAAAGAAAGATTTTAAGTATTTGGGGATGTTAAGCTTCTCCATGCATAATAAAGCATGTCTTTTATAACATGAAATGGCAGGTATTTGTCAAAAGGAAAACATATTATTTTGTGTTATGAGTGATATCCTAGTCTTAAAAAATGTAGGTGTCATAAACCAACCTTTAAAGATTACATATTTTTATAGCTTGCTAATTTTTTGACATGTGCCTTGGCATAAGGATCTGTGATGTCTTTCGAGAGAGATGCAGTTCTCTGTTCTGCTCATACTGGAAGCCTGCCAATATGAACACCTTACAGGGGTACTACCGTGTCTGAAACAAGCTTGTTTATGAGGAGATGCTTTGGGAATGACTGCCAAAGAAATACCTGTAAAAAAATATCAATGCATCTCGTTCTACTCCATGATTAGCTGTGATTAGCTCATAGATTCTCTCGCTTCCTTCACACCATTGAAACTGTAATCAGCATCCTCCTTCTCCTTGTATATTTTTTCCCTGGGATTTAAAATGATGTTGACATCTCATTTTCTCTCTCAGCAATATTTATTTGTTTACTTAGACCCTCCTGGGAACGTGATATAAAACATGTGCTATAAGCCTGTCTTTGCCATGCATAGTCTACTTCCCAGGAGCAAGCTAGTTGCTCATTACTTTGTGAGAGGAAATCAGGTATCCAGAGAAGCGAGGGCTACCCTGCCTCCCATTTGACGTTGCTTAGAGCTTGTTCGCCCCCTGCTGAGCCCCTATAGAAAAATGTGGTATCTTGTGAGAAGAGACCAGAGACAAAAAAAAAACCAAGCAAAGGGTATGTCAAAACTGAAGTCACTTCTGTAATATCAGTTACACTCCTGTAAATGGTCCATCAATGCACTGAAACTTGCAGAAACATTTAGTAACTCAAATTCCTCTTAAGAATCTTAGTTATAATCTTGAGTATCATTGACACAGACAAATCGTGCCTTTGAATGCATTCGGATTGCGAAATGAGAAACTGTTAGTCACAGAGCTTGCTTGAAAAAAATAGGAAAAATGTCCTTACGATATATTAAGAGAGATTTTGTGAGAGGTGCAGCATAAATTACTTTAACTTTACTAGTCACAAGAAATCTTTCAGCCCAAGACCTATGGCAATACAGCAAAGAGATTTGTTTCCATATACAGTAACATATCGCAGGTACTCAATATTTTCCCCTAATATTCACTGCTATGTTGCAAAAATCAAAAAGTATACTTGAATAAGAATTTAGCTTTGCTTCTGCACAGAATTCATCACATACAATGTTTTTAATTACCTTGTAGTCATCCATTGAGAAATCTGTGGAAGTTGTAAACTCCCTTGTAGATGGACGCCCAGGAGAACCTTTGGGACCTATCTCGCCCTGCAAGAAAACCATGGAAATAGATTTAATATCAGCTAAAACAGCCTTATTAATTTATTATTAACATTTATAGTCTAGGTCCTAAGCTGGAACCAACAAAGCTACACAAATTTGTGCCAGTTTGGGGTCTGACACTTGGACTAGTAATGTTGGGGGATGAAGTTCTTTCATAATGAGATCATGTATATCAATATTTTTTATTGTACTACCTGTCTCCTGGATAAAATGCAAAGAATCTTTTTTCAGTTGCACCAGTCTGACACCACTGATTTCAGTGGAGTTTCTTCTGATTTATACCGGTGCAAGTGATAGCACATTCAGAACTAGACATGCAAAAGTTCACTTGGCTGCAATATTTATTACAGTTGTTATTACTTTCAAAGTAAATAATTTTTTACTACATGTTATCATTGTTAAAGAAAAAGGCAATAATTTAAACACACTCCTTTTTTAATAATGATAAGCATCACTGATCTGACTTACGATTCTGGAACTATTTAATTAATTTCCTTTACCTTTTCACCTTTTTCTCCATAAAAGCCAAGGCCTCTGTTGCCCTTATTGTAAAGACAATAAATCATCAGTTAATAAATATACAGTTTTTACTCCAGTAAAGATTTCAAATTTAAACAAAATGAGTTTGAGAAGTGTCTGGAGTTAGAAGTCCTTTGGACATCATTGTAGGACCATGATCACATTATTACTTAGTTATGTTCTAGTCTTTCCTATAACAAGCATGAAATCCTTCTTTCTTCGAGTTATAGTGTGAAAAGATTTCACATCTCATCTGTGGGGTTTTTAATAGATTTAAAAGTTAGAAAGTCATATATTTTTTCAGCTAAGTATAATCTGATATATATGGAGAGATTACCTGCTCTGAGGAAACTGCTATGGGCTATACCATCTTGATAACTTGACTCTAAAGCTGGGTTAATCATTCTGGGGAACCTTGCCTGAATATAAAGTTGACTTTTGGGACCAGACAGGCAACACATAGGCTCTCATCTTATGTGGCCTATAATTGGTTGCTAATCTTCACTGACTTTAGCAGATCTTGGATCAGAAGCATTGACTCAAAATCAACATAGACACAGCTTGCTAGAGAAAGACTTACTTTTTCTCCTGGAGGTCCTGGCGGCCCCGGTCGTCCCTATAAAAATACACAAAGGAGTATATTACCTCTGAATAAGGTGGTCTTAATTGTGTTTTCTTGGTAACTCTGTATAAAGAAAAGGAAGCAACTAGTACACTGGATTCACTAGAATTCAGATAGTTAACAATACTTCAAATTTTAGCTATGTTGACTGTTTCATATTTTTCTAAAATATAGAAGTGTTTAGTTTATTAAAATATGGGAGCGTCTACATCAGCCACTTTCCTGCACAGCAGACCAATTTGCTGCACAGTAAAGCGTCACTGTCTACACGTGCATAGCAGCTAGGGTGCAGTAGTCTAATTTACTGAGCTGCCGGATAGTCCTGTCAGATACAAGTGGTGTTGGGCAGAGTAGTAAATTACTATGCTTAAACACACATGTAGATAATGATGTCAGGATTAATATATTTAGTTGCATTGACTGCACGTGTAGCTACACCCTATAAAATTTACTATAATATTTTACTATAATGTTAAAGTGCCAAGATATATGACTAGTTCCCATAATAGGATAGGGATCTGCTATTTAGACAAAATTCACTTGTTTTGGCTCTGGTAACAGGACCTCATATTACAGGGCCCTGTCATCAAAAATGTTAATCACATGCTTATGTATCTTGCTGACTCTTGAAAAAGTCTGCAGAGAATGAGGGAGTTATGCACCTTATTTTACCTGCTTAACATTATCTTGTCTGACTACATAGAGAATGACTGTTAGAAGGAAAAAAACAGGAAACAAAATAATGACAAAGAGAAGGTACTCCCAGAAAGAATTCCACAATTTCTTGAGACAGGAATATTAACTGGGCAGTCCCAATTTTCCTGGCTTCATCCCGGGTAGGCAGTTAATTTTTCCCCCATGTCTGAGCTTGGGATCCAAAGACTCTAAACAATTAAAGACCTTGTCCTAGAGAGCAAGGCAGTATGAAAAGGCAGCATCTGCTCAGAAAAAGAACTACAGGAAAAACAGTTGGCCTCTGAGCTCAGAGGTGGAAGTAGCTGGGCTAACTACCAAAGTACCAGTATTTACAAGGAAAGGCTGCAGTTCAAATGAGACCAGGTGCATATAACGTGTTGTTATTTTAATTTTTCTTTCTGCTTACTATGTACCTTTGGGTGACTAAACAATACGTTTGCTTGGAAAAACATGTTTCTGAGTCATTGTGATCAACCTCTGTTCTTGTTAACACAGTGAGACCAAGACCACTCTGCCATTTGGGCATTCAGTCTGGAAGCAATAAAACTTTGGGATTTCATTCAATACGAGGGAGAGCAGCAAAATCTGTCCCTTGAAGGAAGTACTGGTGAAAGCTTGCAAAGGGGTAAGACAGCACATCCTCTTCCTCTGGAGACCAAGCAGGAAGTAGCAGGTCTGGTCCGAAATAGGATGAACCATGGGTTTTCATTCCAGGAAAAGCACAAATAGAGCCCTGCTGCTGGGAGAAAGTGTTTCATGAGGGAATGAAGGACAGGTCTCAGCTGCAGAGAAATATGAACTATGAGAGCACCATGGCAAAGACTAGTCCAGATGGGTTTAGCTCAAACATTGCGGATTTGGTGCTAAGGATCTTGGTGTGATCTGTGCAAAGACTTGTAGAATCATTACGCATGTAGCCATACTGAGGTGTATTATGTTTCCAAATCA